AGAGAAAGAGAGAGAGAGAGCAAGAGCAGGGAGAAGGAGCAAAGAAACACACGGAAGATGCGCTTGTGTCTCTGACTCTCTCTGTCCGGCTCTCTTCTTTCATTCATCTTTGTTTGGATTCCTCTCTCCCTCTCGATGTGTCTCTTCCAGTGATTTCAGTGCGCGTGGGGGGCCGAAAATGCCGATGCGGAGCCTTCACGCAGGAAACTCTGACATCGTTCGGCTTCATGCCACTGCTTATGGCAGCGCACGTGATGACGCGACAAACCGGCTCCCCAGAAGCATGTGTTGCCTGTCAGTCTTGCGAGCCGGCGACAGGGAATGCTTGGGTGATCCTTTGAGGCGAGCCCGCTCCGCCCTGGGCAGCAGGGGGAAAAAAGCAAGGGCTCCCTCCATCACGGCACTCTAAGCGCGGGGCTCCCTCTCCTTCTCTTCGGCTCTTTCCCGAAGAAGCTGTTCACAAACCTCCGAGTCCGAGGAACAGTCGCAGCAGTCCGTCAGCCCTTGTGCACTTGCAAGCGCAGGATGCTGTGGGAACCGGGCGCGAACAAGGGAGCGGATCTGGCGTAGTTCAGCTTCGGACCTCGGCGCATGCTTTTCGCGTTCCTCATGCCTGCTGAGTCTCTGGTGTTGAGGCCCACACATCATTTGTGCAGGCCGCTGCGGAGACCTGCTGAAGGCTGAAGATGCTTGAAGGTTCTCTAGAAGGCGCTTGAATCACATGATGCACTCTTGCCTGTCTTTTTCGGCCGGTATCGGAAGTGCAGGAACCTTGGAAACAAGCAAGAACACACTCTGCCTGCTTGCCAGCAGAGTTTCTCAAGCATCGAGCCTCTTCTAGAGTTCCCATCTCCCGGCGAGGTGCCAATGGAGGCTGGGGGCGACCTGGATGAAGTGCTGAAGGCTTGGTATACCCAGAAGGTAGATTGGGTGAATGAACGACTTTTCGGCCTTCTGAAGCTGCGGTTCTGCTGGTCCCATGTGCATGAAACTTTGTTCGTTTTGCTGGGGCAGGCAATTCTCTTACTGATTTGGGGTTGAAGCCTTGTTAGTAGGTGACCTCGCTGAATGACTTGCAATTTCCACTCGATGATGTGGCCTTTGACGTGCAAGGGATGATCCACAAACACACACTGCGCCGAACTGGTACCTGTACCACCGATTGCATGAAGACCAAGTTCGTCTGCAGTTCATGGGCTCCGAAGTATTCGGACAGTGGCAAGGATCATTCACCAGACTGAAGAGGAAGTTCTGCCTCGTCGACGACGTTGTTCGTCATCCTGGTCCCTGGACACAAGTTGTGTGGTGAAGCGCGGAACCTAGAGTCCATTGCACAATGCTCTGCTGTCTGTCGATGCTAGCTTCGCATTGTGGGTGTAACTGTGATGTGTGGGCATCTCTGGCTGCAGCGGTGAGGATTACCGTTAGAGTGCATGACAGAAGTGAAAAGTGCAGGATGCAAGACCCCGTATGAACCTTAGATGCCATGGATCTTGTCCCTTAGCTTTCCGCGGGGATCTCTCTTCGCAGGCGCCTCGTCCAGTTCGCTCCATCAGCTGCCGGCACACGAGGATGCATGTCATCCTGCCAATCTTCTGAAGTTCTGCACACCTCTAGCAGCAAACGAGCTCTACCATGCAGTGCAGTCTCCTGACTTTTGCGGTTGGCTGCGCTTTCCTGGCAAAATAGCAATGCACACAAAGACTATCAAACTGCAAGCATGAACAGCTTCTTGCGAGGGCCTACACTAAGCCATTGCTTGCAACAGAGCTGGCAAGACCCAGGTATCGTTTTCGTCGTAGCTATCGCCACGTTCTCGAAAGTCTCGGCGCTCCTCGAGTCTGAATAGCCGGTACGCAAAAAACTGACCAAACCCTAAACCCTAAACCCCTAAACCCTATATAAACCCTAAACTCCCTAAACCCTAAAGAGCGAAATCAGCTCGGGGTGTGGCTCGCCGTCGCCGTCCACGAGCTGGGCGCGCCTTCACGGCATCTCCCATGCTTCCAAGCAGCATACGGTTTTTCTGCCAAGCCCGCCTCTGTTCGTTTCATTTCTCCGGTCTCCTAGGCGTCATGGGTAGCTGCAAGATCTGAGCTGTCTCATGTCTTTCGAGGCACTGGGGGAAATTAAGTCTCGTTCCAAGACTGTGCTGAGCCCATCCGGACCTTCAGCATTGTCCTCCACAACAGAATATTCCCACACCACTTCGGAGGCAAAGGAAACGGGCCAAGCCTGTGGGCTTGCTGTCAACCAAGGAACAGGTGAAGAGGTGTCCCTTCCATCCTTAGGTACATACCGCATGCGAGCAGCATGCGAAAAAATCAAAAACCGAGCAACTCGGCGGGGACGGTCAACTCTGGATGCTGAGCTCGGCTCTGGCAGCAAGCTGAGGCTGGAGTAATTCTCATCACGCCAGGTCCTCTAGCTCTTCCGCGTGACAACTCTAGGGCTTCCCGTCCTGTCGCTTGTCTACTGGCCTCTTGTCCCTTTCGGATGCACGCCAAGATCCGTCCTGACCACCACCTCATCCAACTTCGAGCGGATGCAGCTCCATGAACAGCAAAGCACTTTGAGACTTGCCTGTGGTGCTGTCGACATCTCGTCTTCTTCGTCTGCGTCTGCGCCGACGATCCTCTCCGTCTACCCATGTGCCTGCGCTCGGCTGAAGATGCTGGGGCCACTCGAACACTCCAGGGCTCGAAGTAACTCCCAAGCTAGCCTGAGAGCTTTACACGCACGCGAGTCAAGGAGCAAAGCGCAGGAAACATTCAGTGAGGGGTGCCCAGCGGACATTACCTACCCACTACAGCCAAAGCTGGGGAAAGATGGGTGTGCAGTCCTGGCCGGAGGATGCCGAAAAAGCACAGATTACACCGCATTGCACCCGGACCATCGTTTGCCTGCAGTGCTGCCGTCGTAGGTCCCACCTCCACCTGTGCTTCACTTGCATTCAAGCCACGGCACAACTGTGCTGTACCGTCGATCATTGCAGCTGAGCGCTTTGCGTGATGGCGAAAAATCCTGCCCAGCCGGATCCTGACAACCAGGTTATCGCCAAAACGCTTGCATCTTATTGCATCTTAACAGTAGGAGTCGACTTAAAGGTCCTTATAGCAAGGATTCTTCTGTTTTGGGACTATATTCGGAGGGCGAGTTTGTCTGAAAGCCCGATTTCTCAATTCAACATATGAGGCGCCTTGCTCCTTCGCCGCCGAACTGGTGCTCTCCCAGGCGCCTGCATCGAAAAACTGCAGGAAAAACAATTAACTGCTGAATCAAGTCTTGCAATTACCGAATAAAGTAACATTTAATGCCAATTAGGTCAGAGTTACACACCTAGTTACTGATTGGCCTGGCCTTGGCGGCTTCTGGAGCGGCAGCTGATGACTTTGCAGCCATCCCAGCCTCCCAGAGCGCTTCTTGAACATCTCCTAGCATCTCTGCTTGTCGGGTGGCCTGTTCCCGTCTGTGTCGCTCCTGCCAGGTGTGCCAGCAGCCGCACACGAAGCCCCCTACTGGACTACCCTTTAAGGTTGAGGGTTTAGGGTCCTCAATTTCGCGAAGTTCTCTTGCAACGCGTCGTTCCTCCATCAGTTCCTGCACAGCAGACCGGCGCCAGCCAACCTAAATTGTCCGACTCCCGCGTCCTCCTCCCTCAATCGTCTCAACTCCTCTTCCTTTCTTTCGCGCTGCTCCTGCACTACTGTAGGCGAGGGCTCCCCACGTTTGTAAGTTAGTGCTGCATGATACAGCATCATCCTTCACTCATGTCTTGCTTCTGTTTCCAGCCAGCTTTGGGCTATCTTGGGCTGACTCTGCCGAGTCTGTGCTACTCACCGGCGGCCAAATTCGGTCGATGAGATAGTTCCTTCTGACGGCGAGTGGCAGAGTCTGAAACCGAGGTGCAAAGACCAAGCACCCCGCAGCACCACAATTCTTTGAGGAGGGGCCAGCCGTTCCTCGGTGAAAATCGGTGAATCCCTCCAAACCCCCGTAAGGCGGGCGTGCGGCCCTGCAGGTGCATGATGGTGCATGCACCATGCAGGGGTATTCGACATGATGGGCATGCTCAATGGCATGGGTGGGCGCAAGGACACAAAACCCGAAACCGTTAAATCCGCAAATCCTAACGTTAAAAAGCCTCTGGATCAGTTCTAAAGTCGGAAGTAAGGTCAGGACTGAGCCAAGCTTTACTCGACCTGAGACAGGCTTGGGGCTTCCATCGAGTGTCGGGTCTTTATGGCTTTGAGGAATAGGACTTGTAGAGCTTCTGGCTCCTGAGGATGTGAGGGGGCTTGTGACATCAGGGTTTTGAGCCTTAGGTTTAAGCTTCCAGTCTTGCTTGCTCCGGGATTGCTGCTGACTGAGGTCTGCGCGCAACTGAAACTGTTTGCAGAGATTGGCCCGCTGGTCTGCGTTCATCCTCGGTGGTCTCGAAATGGAATCACATGACTCTTGCTCTCATTCAGGGAAGACGTCAATGGTTCCACGATAGTTTACCACAACATGAACCCCTAGCAATCCTCTAAGGAAGGACACTATTTACCACAAACAGCTGTACCGTGCATGCCGAGGGCTCGGCTCTGCAGTATGTGGAAGGATGACCAACCGCGACAAATTGCACGACTTCAGAGCCTAACACAGTTGAAAGCACACACAACATCAAAAGTCCGGTCGCCAAACTTTGCTTGTGCCGTGGCTGGGGGCTGCCGGAAATGCGGAAGTGCTTGTATCATTGCGGATGCGCATGCCACTGGGCCCCACGTTGAAAAGCACAGGGACAGAGAAGACAGGTCTGGTCGGAAAAGCCCATGCGCTTCCGCCAAAATTGCTGCAGGGCAAGATGAGGCACTATTATAGTATAGTATATTATAGTATATAAGAGAAAATAATAGTGTATTATGTATATTCTAGCATATTTATTGCAGTCACTCTTTCCTAGTCATTATAAGAGGCGGATGGTTGCAGAAGCATGGGAAGTCTCGGCCAAACGCACTGCTGCCGGCCTGCAAGACTTCCTCTGCCGGCCTGGAAGGGATGCAGACTTCCGTGGGTCTGGAGGTTTTGGGTTTAGGGGGTTTCGGGGGGTTTTTTGGGGGCTTAGGGGGTTTAGGTAGGGTTTAGGGTGGGGCATGGAACATAAAGGTAGGTTGTTGGGTATTTCTCTGAAATAGGATCCCTTTGTGGATCCCCCCAAATAGTACGGCACCCATATAAAAGGGACCCTTAAAAAACACCCTAATTTAGAGAACTAGCCAGATAAGCAGAACAAAAGGTCTTAAACTAGAATGAAGTTCAATATAGGTGGAATAGAAGAAGGCAAGATAGTAGCATAGAGTAGAATGGACTGGAATAGACTGGGGTACACATTGGGTACTGCCCCCGCATACAGGGCCACTCTTGAGGGCCTTATAACATCCTTATTATGGAATATTATTCAACTGCTACTACTCTTAAGGGCCTTTTAATGTCCATGTTATGGAATATTCTTCAACTGCTACTGGGTGGCTGTGGGGGCAGCATCCAAGGTCTACATCTGGCCAGAAGTTGCAGACGGGTTACTGCCCCTCAGCGTCGTGGAGCAGCATGACCACCTGAAGCCCAGGCATTCCCGGGGCCCGGCTCTTCGAACAAGCAAGGGAGCAAGGTACACCAAAATGGAACTACTATAGTATACTATAACAGACATATTAATAATATACTATAAGATATTTAGAATATAACACTATAGTATACTATGACATAGTAATATATGTATAACAGACTATACAATAATTTTGCTCTGTATTTGAAGCACCTGGCCTCTCCCCGCGGGCTTTCATTGCTCTTTAGCTCCTCACCCATGGAGTTTGACGAGCTACATGCCCAATCGCTGCGATTCCGGTCTCCTCAAGCTCGTGCCAGAAGGACTCGCAAGCTTGCAGTCTCGAGTTGCAGAGCTCTCCGATACCCTCCTGTCACAGATCTGTCCGCACCTCCATCCAGCTGTCCGGGCGCTATTCGCCCAGGTGCTGCCCAAGGCCGCGTCACTGGCATCAGTAGGAAAAGGCACAACTTGAGAGAATCTGACGCTTTATGTTTGCACTTGCCCACATATCCAGTTGTGCCTCCTTGCGAATCCTCCTGGGTCAGATACCAGGCTGGTCCAGAGAGGTAGCTAGCTCAGGAGCCTGTGACGCTTTCTGTACAAATTGAGCTGAGCATGATGTAACAACCAACGCAAACAGGACCCGTGCAACATGCCCTGATACTCGCAGACGCGTGACCAATCGACAGCAACCCTACAGCAGGATCACTGATACTTACTTCAAGCCCCATAGATTCCAGCATTTATTGGTTTGGGGTGTAAAGTCGCAGCGACACAACAAGTGTGCAAAGGCAGTGCTACCGGTAGATACCAGTAGCTTGTAAAACCAATACCGGCGAAGGGTCTAGCAAATAAGGCACTGCCCGGCACTGCAGGGCCTGAAGCGCTGGCATGCCTTGCGAAATGTAGCCGCAACCCACACTTCTTCCGCATACATCATTCGGACCTGCCCCGACTTCCACATGGCTGAAAACGAGCTGAACAGCTGAACAAAGGACAACACATCGCCGCCTCATTACCGAGAATATTCAGCTTGAGGTGTGCTGGCCTGCATCAGACAGGGAACAAGAACGCAGCGTCTACAGAACCCCGCACCCGGGGATCTGGCACACCGGGAAGTCGCTTTCCTTGCAAACTTTGCCTCCAGGCCTCTTTCACCTTTCGAAAGGCGCAGGTCTACATTTGCATTGATCCTTCCTATGCTGTCTGCGGCCTCCTCGGCTTCCGTCGAAATCTCCGGAGGCTTTGAGAACACGGCCATGAATCTTGTGTTTTGCCTCACTTGCTAAAGGGTCAAGCGCTGCGGTTTTCACGCCCGCAGCTGCCTGATCCTCCGCGAGGTCATCAGCGACCCTACAATGCAGCGGCACAGCAGGCCGAAGCCTTCGGCCACCTTCCGCACTTCCGGCGGACTCATATCTCAGGGAAAGCCTGAATGGCCTCGAGTCTTCTCAAGTCAAGTCCGCGAAGAGGATTGGTATCCATCCTTCCCGTGGTAGTGGCTTCGCAACGCAAACAGCGACGGATGGCAGTCGCAGGCGCATGTCCTTGGGAACGGCACCAGGAAAACTCGCTCTGGCCTCGAGTTTCTTCGAAGCTCTCTCCCAAAAAGAACTCCTGCTAAGCTTGCAAGCCGACAAAGACGAAAGCCAAGCAAAGCTCTTTCGCGTGACACCACATGCACAGTCTCTCGATTCGAACCTCCATGCAAGGTGCATCTTGAGCACGATTGCGAAGGCGCTCAGCACTTTGCCAGCTTGTTGAGCTGGAGGAAATCGGGTTGCTTGGTTACATGGTTGATTCTTGGCTTCCTACCGCGATTGGGCTTTTGGGACTAGACGTTTGCCTAGCGACATCAGCATGTTCACGACAAGCTCACGCAAGCTGGTAGAAAACCCGGACACGCATGGTTGCCAGCAGTGTCCCGGAAGCTTGGAAAACAGAGCCACGGCTGGTGTGTGTTGACGTCTGTTAAACAGCGTCTCACATCTCAGCCATGCCTCCTTCGATCTACTCGCCTTGTCCATACTTGCAGTTTTCTTCTTGAATTTCGGTGGCCAAACCAAGCGAATCTTTGCAATATTTTGGAGCTTGAGGCAGGCCAAGGCAAGTTGCTAACTTAGTCGTCCGTCTGGGAAATGAGGGCAACTCCGCGCTTCGTCCAGAACTCTTCACCTTTTGATCAAGGGAAACTGAAGAGGAAAGGAGAAGACACCACCTGCAACACTTCTGAAGCAAAGGTGCTGTGCGTTCCGTTGCATGAATGTGGGATGGCCAGGTACATGATGAAATTGGAGGAGTGACCACCTGAAGATACATCGCTTTTGCTCTCACATTGCTTCGCAGAGAAGACATGCATGCTGCAGGCTCATGGACTCTGGCTCAGTGTCCGACTTGTGGACAGCACGCCCTTACGCTCGGACGTCTTGTAGATGGGTGCCTGTCGTGGAATCCGGTGTAGAATATCGGTAGTATGCATCCAAGCAGGCTCACCAGCTTGGTGCTGCATGCAAGGGGCATTGTAAAGCTTGTCGTAGTCATGCTCATCCTGCGCTTTTTCGACCTGATGGTGAAGCATTGCCACTCGCTGGCACGGAACAACTTGTCCGCACACAGGTCAATGACCCAAGAAGTCTTTGTGTCGAACTGGCTTCAACCAGACCGGTGACATCTCCGCCCACAGAACCTGTTCGCAAAGACCACACATAGTCACATATATCTTAAGCACGAGCTTCCACGGACAAGCAATGCAGTCCGATGCCTTCGGGAAGGAATCCTCTACGCACATAGCGTCGTCATCCCATCGGGCGCCGCTCATGAAGAGGCCGTTGATGTAGGCACCCTCGAGTTTGAAGTTGAAAACAGAACAGTGCGGACATTCAGACAAACGGGCAAACACGGCGAGACACGGCAAGAGGACAGATGAGAAAAAGAAAGGAGCAGCGTGCGTTAGTGAGTTAGTGAGTGCGTACGCGCGTGGGTTTTGCGTTACACACATTCTAAGATTCAAGAGGTTCATGTCAGGCACAAAGATTTGGATCTGAGGAGAAGTGCCGAGGCATTCCGTCCAGCCTTCTTGGGATACTCCTCCGGCTTGAAGGCGGCCTTCAGGACCTGCCGCAAGGCGGGGTGGAGTGCTTTGCAGCAAGTTCCGAAGCTTCCCCTTTGTAAGGCCAAGGAGGAAAGGAGGACCTCGAAATTCCAGATGCAGCGATCGATCGCAATCTTGTCCTCATGTTGGCGGCGTTCGCTGCTGCAGAATCAAGTGGAGCTTTCACGAATCTTGTAAAGTGTCACATCACATGTCGTTATGGGTTGCCACACTCATGCGACCCAGAGTCAGTTCGCGCAAAGTTTTGCAGCACACCCGTCAAGAAAGCCTGACCACGCGGCACTTGAAGAGATCAACAAGCGAGGAGGTGAACTGCCAACCCATGGCCTGTTGGAAGAAGTAGGCCGAGAACCAGAACATGTAGGGAATGCCGTCCTGTGCTATGTCTCGCTGTGCTTGATGATTCCGCTTTAACAGTTGCAGAATGCCAGGCTCCTTGATCCAGTTCGACATGAACTTGAGGCGACCAAGGAAATCCTGGCAGGGAGTTACTGATGAAACATGTTCACTGTAATATAATATAATATAGTATAATATAATATAATATAATATAATATAATATAATATAATATAATATAATGCAACTTTGCGAATTTTATCTCGTCTCTGCCGCTGCCGAGGTGCGTCGACATACGACTGCAGCCTCACTGCAAACAGCCAACGAGAGATCTGTAGCAATGCCAATGCAACCTGTGAAAGCTGGGTTCGGCGCGGCTTCAGCGAGGGGTAGGACACTCCCATCCATGGGGAGGGAATTGAGTTCGTCAAGCCTCACTATCACAGGTCACCAAGCTTGGTCTCAATTGTGCTGGCGTTCAATGAATGGCCGCCAAGAGACATCCCTCGGCGACTGCTTCCAGCTCTGGTGAGAACACCACCAAACCTTTGACCGCCTCGCAGCATGACAAGCTGTGCGGCGAAGGTTGCCCAGGCGTCAGAACGTCAGATCCAGAAATGACCACCGAACACAGGCACTCACTGCTCGCAATGACCTCGGCGTACATATGTTTTGTCTGTTCATACATACACCAGCAAGCATACCTACGTAATTATATGCACTATATAAATACATACATAGAGACAAACATACACACACATCCGCCCACGATGCCTGAGCCCTCAAGCGATCTTGTCGGCAAGGATTGGTGGGGCGTCTATCGGACAGTGGCATGTCTGTCCATGGCACGGCAAACATCAAGACTTGCGTTCATAGCAGAGCACACAGCAAAAGAGAAACGGAAAGCGCGAGTTGTGAAAGCTCGTTGCCAGGCTAGAAGCGCAACCGCAGAAACAGTACCGTACGTGCTAAAGTATATCATGTGCATATGTGCATTCGAGAATGATGTGGCCTTCCTGGCGTGTGACAAAAAAGTTGGCAACATGCATCAATAATCAAGGTTTGACGACCTCACAAGAGAAAACTGTGTTGCGTCTTACTGCTGTCAGGAATAGTAACACTGCCACTTGAGTTCAGAAACCGCATAGTCGCAGTGCAGCTTCGCAAACCTGCCTTGATCAAGTTGCTGCATGTGCCCTTGATTCGGTTCAGCAGCCTGCAGGAAAGAACCATGCAAAAAGCACAGCTGTGCCTCAGTCTTGGGTGCATTGCTAAGATCTGTCCTGTTGAACTTGCCGAGCTCCATGTGCAGGACTGTGTTCAGGCACTCGTCGTAGCGGACGGGGTACGTTCGAAGAGCATGTCCCAGGTCGAATGGCTCCTTGACGTTTTTCGAAGCCGGGGTCTATTGATTTGCTCGGATTCGATTGGCGAAATATTTTAGCTCGGTCAAGAGGCTGGAACGCGAGTGTGAATGTCGCCCGCAATCTCTGAATACTTTTCCTGAGCTACTTCTTTTTGGTGGAGCTGGAGGGACAGAATGAAACTCGGACGGCAGATGGGGCCTCCGGAGTTTTCACCTTGGTCCCCTCTTCATCGTCATCAGCCGAAGAGCTTGCACCTCGGAAAGCTGATTTTAGTAGCTCTGACCCCCCTGTGTCGCCTCCTCGTCTCAGTCGCCGGCCGAAGGAGCTCATGAGCGACAAACAGCTCCTACAGTGCTCGTCAGAGCCGCTCAGCCGCGTGCTGCAAGAAGTTTGTCAAATTGTCAAATCCAGGCCTTGTGATGTAAAGCCCTTCGTTGATAGCCTTCGGGCGAAGGTTGGGTGGGCAGTGCTGGAGCAATGTGCAGCACTGCCGCAAAATCCGGTAGCTGAGATACCGACTGCTGTCAAGCTGGCGTTGTTGTGCAGCCAGAAGACTTCTGGGGTCGTGCTGATTGGAAGCGACCTGGCAGACGCCATGCATGCGGTGTCTACCTGGCTTTCTCTACTCTACACGAAGATGGTGCCTAATGAACTCCAGGTAGGCGCTCAAGGTGTCTGCGTGCGGCGGCGCGTAGTAGATGCCTCAGTCAAATAGGAGCTGCTCTGTAGACATCGGCCAGGTCATATTTCTGCAAGGAACCAGAAACGGAGAACTTGTAATCTTCGTCCAAGATCTTCGGGTTGTAGAAATCCTCGACTAGTAATGACTGCATTTATGTACCCTGCGGCGAGTTGAATGCGCGGGCCTGGAGGATGGTGATGATAAGTCGCCTGTCCTGACCATCTGGAACGATGGAAGGGTACTTACTATAAGGGTCTATTGTACGAGTAACAATCATTACCGATCTAGGTCTTTGATCAGCAGTGCATGTCTCCTGGTTGTCTGTCACACGGCCACCATAGTTGGCCTCTGAGCCCATGTAGTTCAGGGCAGCATATGGCACCTCACCGCGGAAAGAGCGCAGCATCCAAGAAAGGAAAATACTCGGCCAGACGCAACCAAGAACGGCTGTACGATCGCCGCAAGAAGTTCGATGACCCTCGTCCGTGCATTCACTCCCCTGACTGCATGCATCTACCACATACACTCTTCGTTCTGAGTATCCTGCAAGAGATAAGAGGTGAAACTCTAAACCCTAAACCTCAAGGTTCTAACTGTGTCGATAAGATGAAGCTCCGGACCTTCGAGAGACAACCTTCCAAGAATGATGCTTTCCGACAGGGACAGTAACGTGTAGAAGATGAAGTACCATCCCGGACACCAAGCATAGTGATAAGGCCGAGGAAGTGCACATCAAGGTACACTGGTACACAAGAAGATTAAAGCCCTGGAGTACGGACTTCTTGCTGTAGAATGCAAACCAACTTCACCGGCCGAGATACTCCCTCGAACTCGTTCAAGAAATTTCGAAGCTGCTGCCGCGAGATTTCTCGGTCGGGCTCCGAGAAACCATAAGCAACGTTCCAGCCAACCTCACTTCAGAAGCACTCGAGAGGCAAAGAAGCACCTGTGGGAAGGCCACTCGGGACCCTGCAGGCCCAAAGCCGCGTCTTTCCAGAATGAGTCCGTGGAAGAAGCAGAGGCCGAATAACCTTGCGAGACATGCACGAACCCTTGCGATGCGCATGGACGCTCTGCCCGGTGCGTCTCTGCTGCTGAAAGGCATCTTGTGGAATTCCCTGATCTTCTGGCAGTCCTGGAACCTTAGCTTTCCAGCGCCGCAGTGCGGAGCTTGCAAGAGAAGCTGGAGGGGGGCACATGAATACATACTCATATGTCATATATATATATATATGTATGTATATGTATATGTATATATGTGAAAAAACAAATGTGTATAAATAAATAAACAAATACATAGCTAAATAAATACAAATACATATATATATATACACACACACACATATATATATATATGTATATATATATATATTGTTCATGAGGGAATGTGTTTCTTTCTTTTTGTCAGTGCAGAGATTGGCTAACGTCTTCAGCGACTCGGAGGCCAAAGAGCCAGGGCCCTGACGGCGCCTTCTGCTTCCCCTTCTGCCCTCCCACCCCTGGGCCCCCCTCCCACACCGAAACACGACGAAAGGCACCAGAAAGGAAGATAAGAAGAAACATAAGCAAACTAGCAATTGTTAGATGAAAGAGCTGTAATGCTGTAAGAACAAGCAAAGACAACCATAAAGTGAATCGCTAGTTGCATGTGCGCGAATACGAAATTCTTTAATCCGCAAACTAACCAGGGAGAGAAGGTACATCGACTGACCACAAAGTTAAGAAGACACTATATTGTGATGCCATTTCTAAGTTAATAACAGCATGTAGCATACACGAAGTCAAGAGGCCACTCGTCATCAAAGCCCAAGTATGCTCGAAGCAATGCTTGCTTCAGACCTTTTGGTGGCTCGATGGTCATCTTGATACCTCGGTGCAAAGACACGGCTCGCAGGCAGGTGCTGCTCGAGCATATTGAGGTCAGCAAGCTGGGGGGATTCTTGGTGCTACCTCCACTCAGGATACTCAGGAGATTAGTGAACACTCTTCCACCTGCTGCCTCAAGCTACAGGGGCAAAGGACATTTCCCTTGGCCCTTCGCCTGTCAAGGCGTTCCATCCTTCAGCCTTCCGCCACCGCTGCACTTGACGGCTCAAAGGATGGAGGGCAGGCTCATGCACGACTTAGGTTTCCTCTCTCCTGAACTCTTCGAGATTTCGATGCGGAATTCATCCTGGCCACCCATCTGCAGAATGGAGATTGGGAAGGCCGGTGAGGGGCATGCCGTCAGCCAGAGACGGAAGTCCTCTGCCGCAACGGGTCAAAAGCGGCAATCGCTCGCTTTTCCACGGTGCATCCGAGCACCTGGTTCATGCTCTCGGGGTCGAATTTCTCGACCTCACAGCCGGCTGCAGGGCAGCACATGCCGTTTTCGCACAATGTGCCGGGAACTTTCCGTTCATGGGCACTGATTTCCGATACCGTAGCCTCTTTGCTTCGCCATCCTTCGGTAGTTCTGAGGGGCCCGCAATGGACTCGAGCGTTGGCATGAAGCTGGGAGCCAAGTGACAGTTCTGCAAAAGCACCTGCACAGAGTTCTTGAGGCCAGCATCAACGTTTCTTCACTGTCTCTTTTCGACACATATCCGCGTGTCGTTGCACTCCCGGCTGCAAAGTCCGTTATGTTTCAGAACACCGCGTCAAGTCACCAGAGCAATGTTAACAATGAGCTGGAATCGAAAGCCGCAGTCAGAAGAAATGACTGATCAATGTGTAGACTCGTGGCACCCACTTTCCGGACTGCGAGCCCTCGTTGATGCCAGCAATTGCCTGTGCGGGCACCGTTGCAACTCGCTGCACCAGTTGAATCGATTTTACTTTCAGGCCTTTGGACCCTGCCCCTGTCCCAGGCTAATGGGATTGATTTTCGCCAGCATGTCCAACCTTAGGTATGCTCACCGCCCCGTTGACACAAGAAACCTGGCAGAACCCAGCAAGGGAACCCTTCGGCCAGCTTCTGGATGTCTGCCATAGGGTCACTGCCCGAGGCCAAGATGTAAATAAGCCTGGCGCATGGTCCAGCACGGCTCCAGAGGCTGAAAGTGCCCACTGCAGTCGAAGGACGGAATTGACGGTGTCGAATCCTTGTAGCAGACCTGCCAAGCAAAAATCTGCTACAGTAGGGCTTTCCCGGTGTGGTACAGGGCCTCCAAGTCCAGCGGAGGTGGCTCCAGGAAGAACTTGCCGAGCTTCTCCTGTAAAGAATAGGAAACCCAAGAAAGTCACCAATGCCTGGGGCTGCGATGCACCTGCACGACGGCCATCAAGGCACCAACTGTGCTGTCTGGGCGGAGCGCAAAAAGCAGAAGTGCTTTCTGGAGCGGACTGCACTTCCTGAGTGCAGCATGCAGGAGGACCCTGAACGCATCTCACGAACCGGACGAAGTCGCGGCACGTAGAGGGGCTTCCATCAGCCGGTCCGCGCAGATCAAGGATCGATTAATTCATCCAGGTGACAACTTGAAGTTGTTGGGCCACTCGACGTCGGCAGGAACGTCGCTGTCGAATACTTCCTGTAACGGGTCTGCGATTTTCTGCCTCTGTCGGAATGTGAATGTCTTTGCAGGATTGCTTACTGGTCCTAATTATGCACAAAACATGCGGGGATCCTGCCATTGCTTGATGTTCGCGGAGAACTCTCCAACAAATCCATCAAAGACATCGCCCAGAGTCTGCAGCTGATTGATTCGATTCCAGCTCACCACCGTGAGCCACCCTGCAAGACAAATCGGAGTTATGTGAAGGCGTCGATAGATAAACTACAGCTGGGACTACACCCGTGGATGGAGTCACAGAAGCAGCTGTGCCTGAATCAGCTGGCTTCTCTTCCTTGGCGCCTCCCGGCAAGCCTGAATCCAAAGGCAACGAAATGCAGAAAACAAAATGCACTGTTGCCTGCAAGCACACAGCTGCGAAGCACCTGTGAGCAGAGCCATGACTTCGTTCAGCTTCAGCTCCTTCTCCATCTCTTGGCACTTCAGGCAGAGCATGACCTTCGGGAGGTTGCATGGTCGCAGCACATGGCGTGGAGACTGTCTCCTTGCCAAAAAGTTCAGTAGTGCTTGTGCCAAGCAACAGAGTAGAGAAGCTTGTCTTTCTCGAAGAGGCCGCGGCAGACCATCACGAACAGCAACCTGCGAAAAGCTATCAGCTAGCGCGTTCTGCTCTGTTGAATGGGAGAGTGACTTATTACAGGCTTGCGTATTCGCGACTTCTACAGAGTAATGCTCGCCGATCTTGCGGGAAACTGCTTCAATCCATTATAGTAACAATGACTTCTTATTGCCGGGGAGCTCGATGAACGAGCGGAACAGCTCCACAAAGCGCTCATCCTTGCTTTCCTTTGGCTCTGCCATCCTCCAAAGAAGCTAGCGATTATGGATACTATGGCCAAGATTGCAGATAGACGAACCGCACAGCGCAGGTACTGTGATGCATGCGTGGCACAATTAGCCTGAACATGTACAAGCTAGCCTGATGGACTGGTTGAACATGGCGATGAACCAATCCAGCGAGAACCTGCGCAGAGTGTCTATGCTGCAAGAGTTTCATCTGGGCTTGACCAGAGTGCTATCAAGGTGCTGGTACATAGGATCAACAATGCAAAGGTCGCCGATGATGAAATAGAGGGCAGCACACCGCAGTGCATGATACCTTGGAAGTCAATTTGTCCGGCTTCGGGTAGGGGTGCGAGAGCATTTTGCCAGGGTGCTTGTAGACTTGCCTGACCTCCGCGATCTGCACAGCTGTAATCTCCTGCTGCTTCACTTGCTCCTCGATCTTGGTGCCCATGATCTTGGAGCTGGACAAAGTCTCAATAAGCTCCTCATCATCCAAGATATTGCCTGTTGACGAGCTCAGCAGCTGGAGGATCTTGTCCTCCAGATCCTTCAGCTGCGCCTTCGCCTTGGCTGACTCGATGACCAGGTTCACTCGCTTCTCTTCGGTGGCCGGCTCTTCTGCAGCCACGACGATTCCAAGCATCTGATCCTGAAGGCCATCCTGCGTGGCCATGAAGTTCAGAATGCTGACTGCCACACAAATCTCGGGTGGGAAGTGCGGGTTGGGCAACTTGGTGGTGATGTAGAGCCTGGGTGAGACAAGTAAATCTGAAGCGCCACTTGCAAGCCCCGCCTTTACAACCAACACAAACGAAAGCGGCAAACTGTTCACAGGGCAAAGAGCTTGAAGTCCTTGGACCACTCGATTGTGGAGTCACCCAATCTTACCATGGTGAGTGTTCCCTGCTTGAAGGTTGCCTTCTGCAGAACTGGATCCAAGATCGCATCCAAAGCCTCCTCGATGTTTTCGATGAGTACCGGGGTGCCGAATTGGATGCAGTTCTCGAGATCTCGGATGTAAGGCATGTTGAGACGCAGAGCTTTAATGTCAGGATTGCTCTTCTTCGTCCACTTGTTGGCTTGCATCTGCGGATCGATCATTAGCGGCCACCTGCGCGAGTTGTCCAAGATGATGGCATTGTCGATAGACAACGAGTCATTCGGCAGGTAGTCGATAACCCACTGACGGATCTTTACCTCATCTCCAATGCACTTCCTGGGCTTGCGACACAACATCATCTACTACTACTACTACTACTACTACTACTGATGATGATTTGGATGATGCTGCTGCTGCTGATGATAATGATGCCGATGATGATGATGATGGTGATGACGATGACCACCGCCCCTATGGCCCGCTAAGAAGAAAATATGAAGTTCCTGAACAGAGAACACGAATGCCAACAGGAAAACGCAATATATCATCGCACAAACATTTGGAGACAAGGTTCTGCAAGCTGAACTCCTTGCTGGCTGGGATTTTCAAGTCGGACAGCTTCTGCAACCATCCATCGCAGGCTTCTTTTCGGTACTGGCTTGTAAACACTCCCAAGTATGCAAGGATTCCCGAAGCAATCAGGATATCACCAGTCAGGTTGTTGTAGTCGAGACCCAACTTCTTGCTCTTTGCAGTCCAGCTTGCCTGTTCGCCTCCGAGTCCATCGATCAGCTTCTCTGCACGGGCCAGCCTGGGTTGCTGTTCAGGAACTTAACTTAGTTACTAAAACAGCAAGGAAACCCTGTTATTTAGCTGAGTATTTTGTAAACAAATACGTAAACAAATATAATATCTAAATATGAATATGTATATTTATAATCCCCATTATGGTTACTTGAGTTAAGGTCCTTAACAGCAACCCAGTAGCTTGGCAGCACAGTCCTTCTGATTTCTCGACAACTCTTTGGCCTTCTCGTTGGCTTCATGAAGCTGGGCCTCAAGATCCGCCACCATGTCCATGACTTCTTTCAACTCAGCCTGCTTTGCCGCAACTGTGGCTTCTGCTTCCGCAACTTCGGCCTCGGCCCCTGCCAACTTTTGTCGCTTGGGGCCCACCTCTTTCGCGACCTTGTCATACACCACCATTGCTCGCACCCACTTGCAGATACCCATGGCAGCAAGAGAGCCCTTCTTGATCTTGTCTGGCTCGAACTCTGGATCATCGTACAAGGGCTTCACCTTGTTGATAACAGCATCCGGAATGTTGTCCTTATCATAGTGGACCATGCGGTTGATCAGCGACGGGTCAACCAAGAGCTCCTTCTTGGCGGCCTCCCAGTAGTCGTCCACTTTGCCCTTGCCATCCGCCGCAGCCACCTTCACAGGCTTCACCTCGAACATGATGCACATAGCTTGCGCTGTCAGCACCACGCCAGCTGGAGGGGTCTTCATACCTCGGACCTCTCCGACATCGCCTTTTGACAACTTGCTCAATGCCTCCAAGGCTGCTTCGTAAGCTGGCAGGGCGGCAGCCAGGTCTTTCTCGCAATCGGCTTTGATTGCCGCAGCATTGGCCTTCTGTGCGTTGGCCTTGGCTTCCTCTTCTTCGACCACAGCCTTCTTTTCGACCGCACCTGCCTGCTGCGCCTCCACTCGCTCGCGCATCTCGCCTGTTTCTTGGGCGGCCTTCTCCAAGACAGGCTCCAAATCGTTCAGCTCGATCTGAAGAGCGGATACTTGCTCCTTGGCGTCGTTGATCTTATCCAGCCCAGTGTCATAACGCCACTTGGCCTTCTGCACGATCTGACGTCTACTCTTTAAAGTGGAGATGAAGGAGTTGATCAACTCCAGGTAGGAGGTCGGTGTGACGTAGAAGTGGCGCTTGGCTTCCAAGAGGAACTTCTCTGACAGGGAGAAGACAGACTGCTGAGCTTGCACCATGATCTTGGTCACGTTCATTCGGATGGTATCATCGAACTCCAGGTCCTTGTCCTTGGACAAAAACTGATTCGCCACCGCAGAGAGGGCATCCGCCGGCCACTCGTGGAACCAATCGATGGTGCAGCAATTCACCAGGCTAGGGAAGCTTCGCAACCTGTTTCGGAAAGCAGCCCCAATCGGAGACATGCAGATCACGATGTGCAAGTTCTTCCGGCACTCTTCAACATACCATCCGAAAATCTCTGCAGGCGTGTTCTTGCCAGCTGCATTCGCACCTTTGCTGCACTTCTCGGTAATCTCCAAACGGTCCTCGTTCGCGTACAGATTCGGCACCTCGCCTGTGTTCAGAATTGAAGACACCTCCTCTAGGAAGGCCTCCTTTGCAATCTGAGTGTCAGAGAACAGGAATGTTGTTTTCGTGTCTTGGGAGCCACTCTTCATGAGCATGCGCTTCATATCGTCATGCCACTCGTTCATGCCGTAGCCCTTGGACATCTCGATCTGGAAGAGATCATACTGCGCAACGTAAGTTGCCAGTGTAGTTGTGGCTTTACGTCCACTGCCGCCGACGCCCACCAGCAGTGCGTTGCCCAGCGGAAGTCTCAGCACTCGAATCACCCGGCAAATGTGCTGGATGAAGCTCATGAACAGCACAAGATCCATTCGAATCTTGCTTACCGAGTTGTAGTCGTCTAAGCATTCCTGCACTTTAGCAGAAAGCTTCTCATGATCTTGAATCTCAACATATGCAGACGACTTGGGGTCACAGAAGTCTGCAAAGATCACGGGCTCCAGCTTCACTGCCTGATCATATGGACGCTTCAAGTGCTTGTCCATGTTGCGCTTGCACAGGTTGGTGAACCAGTTCATGTCCTGCTTTGTGGTCAGGCGATCCTTGAAGACACGCTCACATTCGTGCAGCCAGCACTTGGCAAGATCATCTACCTTGGGCAGCGATTCACGCGAACACTGGCAAATCCCCTGGAAAACTTTGGAAACATCTCGCATGTTGAAAGTGTAGTGCGACTTGGCAGGCGTAGGCAACAACTCCTTCAGCACCGTAGTATAAACCTCGAGCGTCGCAGTGACTGCACCCGATGCTGCTGCCAGGACATCACGAGCCATGACGCTCATGAACTTGTTCACCACCGTGACGAAGATCCGGCTCAAACTCTCCTCATCAAACGGCGTGACAAACAGCAAGTTGAACCATCGGGAGTATCGGTCTGTGATGTCATTCTTGCCCCCGCCTGGTGGGCACATGGCGGCTAGCATGTGAATGTCAATCAGCTGTCGGAACTCCCATCCCTTGCGGTCATACCAGCCGTATCCAAAGGGCGTGAGAATGAACATCTGGCGAAGAATCTCAATTGGAGGCTGCGCACCATATTCCTCCTTGAAGGGCATGTTCAAGTCATCGATGAAGACCAACATTTTCTTGTTTGGCGGTGGCCCGAATGTACCCTTCTTGCGCTTGTCTAGCTTGCCATCGATGACATCCTGCGTCTGATTAGCTGTCGTCTGAGCAGAGAATGCGAAGGCGTTGGTCGCGTAGCTGTCTGCGCTGAACCCTTGGAGCAACATGCCCTGGATGGACGCCGTCTTTGCAGTTCCTGTCGGTCCGCTGATGAGGATGTTGTAGCCCCTCTCAATCAGTGTCCGGATCAGGAACTGATTTCGGCACGTGTCCGATGTAGGAACGACAATTGTGTGGTATGGCGTGTCCTTGGGAATGTCGAAGCCTTCAATCCGCTCTGTCCACGGCTTCCATTTCCCCCCGTCGACGGGGTCGATGAAGGAATCATGAAGCAGCCCTTTTCGAGGTGCGGATGGCATGCTGCCACCACCAGTGATGTCGACCTTTGCAAAGTCAGCAACGAAGTTGAACTTCTGCAGCAAGTCTTTCTTGTTATCCATGCACTGGCGGATGATGTCGCACACGAATAGACGGCCATCTGCATCAGTGCATGCGCCGCAAGTCCATGTCATGGTGAACCAGAAAAGCTGGAAGATCATGATCTCTCGGTCCATGAAGTTCTGCCCCAGGTCCATGTCGTCATCTGGCTCCTCACCCTCGGGGATCTTCACTTCTGCCTTGCAGAAGCCTTCCGTTTCATCTGAGATCAAAGCATCCATCATCCTCGTTGCCATGCAGCAGAGCCACCCGTCAGATACTGCAAAAGGAGTGCGCACACGATGTGTGCACTCGAGAAGCACTTCGAAGTAGTTGTTAAACAGCGAGAAGAGCTGATCTCTATGCTCCTCCTTGATGTAGTCAGGCAAGGTGAGCAGCCACGAGTCCACGATCGGCTTCCAGCCCAAGTCGGTGTCAGGCTCCAGGAACACGATGCCCACACGGGACACAGTTGCTGGCGAGGCATAGTCCAAGTCCCTAACCTCGAACAACATCGTAGTCACAGTCGACAACTTAATGATCTCGCCACTGTTCAGGCACAGCTTCTTGTTGTCGTCAAGCACGGTGTTCATGTTCTCGATCCAGATGGCATCGACCGGCCCATCTAGCACGACCCACTGACGACGACCGTCGCCGAATGCCTTCATGGCCTCGCGCACTGCGATTGCCAGCACTCCATCTGTCCATTCCTGCGTGTTCAAGTCGCTCTCGCCGTAAAGCTGCCCTTGAGTAATTGATTTGGGGTTCATGACATACTGAGTCACAGGCATCATTTCTTCTCCATCTGCCAGTTCACCCAAGGTCTCTGCCAGCACATTCTTCACGTTGGTCTTGCCGCACGGTGGAATTCCAACTGTCATCAGACCGTGCCTAACCAGAACGGTCTCCCAAAGCTGGACGACTTTTGTGGTGAATGGCTTGGTCGGCTGCAGCCCCCTCTTCTCAGCAATCATGTCGATCGTGGCCATCAGCTTTCCAGCATTGCTCGGTGGAAGCTCTACTCCTGGGAACAAGTCGCCAATGATACCCTTGAACAGGGGCAAGTCTGCGGTGGTGAACTTCGGCAGGTTGACATCTGTGAATGATCGCAAGGCGATGACATCCTCGGGGTACTTGTCGCCGTATGTTCGCTTGCCATTGCCACCTGCCACCAGCAGAGCATTCAGACCGCGCATGCCGAAATCGTAGTGGCGCTGTGGAGACAGCTGTTCTGAGGACAGCTTCAAGGCCATGGTGGCTTTGGTGCCGATGACTTTGGCATCCGAGTAGCCGAAGGAGTACAGGCGAATCTCTGCAATCAGAGCGTAGTTGGGCACCTCACTCGTAAAAAAATCTTCATCAAGGTTAGGACAGCTTCGCGAGCCCCCGACTTGGTGGTACGTTACACTGTACGTTACACTGGAGCCAGACTGAATCTGAATCTAGCCGAGAAGCCATCATGGCGCAAGGTCGGAAGAGTGCTTTCAGGTTGTCTGGAAGCTCAGATCGACCAGCATAGCCAGGATTCATGGTGATGTTCACTGCGCAAGTGGGCACCTTAGCTTGAGCTCAGATTTTGGATGCGGTACAGGTGCTGCAACCGAAACGAGGGGCATTGGCGCCAAGCGAACCTAACCAGTTGATGGATGAGACTGTATGAATGTTTGCATCTTGTTGTTTGCCCCCGACTGATCAACACTCTCGACACATGAAGCCCTTCCGGCATCGCCTGTCTCGCCAGCGTCGCTGAGCCGGGATTTGAGTGCTAGCTCATCTTTGCGAACTCGTGTGAGGATATTGGCCGTTTTTGCAGATGGCTTCGATTTATGACCCACCACCCTTCCACTAGATCTTTGGAGGACCCATATGTATGACCATGGGCTTGGGCTTCCGGCGGACCTCCTTGCGATTCCGAGTGGGCTTCCGTAGTGCACGAGTATCAGAACTGAGGAGAAGACCAGCTTGATCTCCGTCTCCTCGAAGACGAACTTCTCCACTCGGCGCTTGATCGCAAGGGAGATCTGCTGGATCTGCTGAGCAACCACGGACAGCACCTCGAGCGAGATCCGGTTGAACTCGTCGAAGCAACACCAGGAGCCACTGGAAGCGAGGCCTTCACGCTCGAAGACAGGAAGAGGGCAGGGCTGCAATGTCAAGCAATAGGCGCTTTGTCGGCTTGTTGCTTTGAAGCCCAGTTCCCTTAGGTGAACAGATTTTCTTGCTGTTTGTCGATACCCCGTGACACCTACACGGGAACCCAGTGCCTGCGGCTGAGAAGATCGAGGTCTAAGGTACCGGTATAGATTTGGTTCGAGTTTGTCAAGCTGCCACTGGATCCACTGATCTCTACTCACCCCTGCTACGCCTTTGAAGAACTTGGCCAGCTGCAGGTAATCCATGGAGTCGCTGCCTCCAAAAAAGGCATGATTATGATTTCACAAGATGAGGCGTTCCACAGGGTGTCAGAAGTGCGACAAAGCCACAGTTGAAGACCACACACCTAAGTTGCCGACTGCCAGTTCGCACGGGCGACTCGAGTCTCACGCATGATCTCCGATTTTTTTCGATAAGGAAGGACACCCCCGGTCCAAAGACGACTTTGACCGAGCAGCTGGATGGCCAATGCCTTCGCCAAGTCTTTGGTACTCTCAGTCTTTCCTGTCCCCGCAGGCCCCTCGGGCGCTCCGCCATAGTAAAGCGCAAAAGCACCTCGGTTGTGCCCAGCTCCCTGCACAAGAGAAAGAGAAAGCAGGCGCTTGCTTGCTTGGCTCCGCGGCACCCATCAGGGTTCGGTAGCATCTGTCTGTGAGCGGGGTGATGACAAGACGAGGCGAATTGCCCAAGTACTCGAAGCCATACAGCAGAGTGGAGTTCACCTGAGTTGAAGTCCGGCAATAAGACTCAGCAGACCTCAGACACCAGACTCCTGCCCGGGTACAATGGAGACCTTGCACTCCATCTTGTCGTTCCTCGGGTTTAAAGCGTTTTCTGGCTCTGGGGTGGTATGGAAGCCCTCAGTGATGCTCGTAGTTTTTGACATGCCGAGCTGCTCCTTGCCTGTGTCGTTTCTGACGAAGGAGTTCTTGTCCTGATGGCAGCGACATGAAAGGGGCTTGCAAGCTCTCTCCCCACGTGCATGGCACGGTGAACAAACGGGTCCTGCCAGTAGTATCGTAACTGTGACAGCCATGCGAAGTCGTCTGGAGAGTCCACACGCTTTTGCACGAGGTTCGTCACCTGCATCAGCATATAATAAACTAACAGCTGTTCACAGACAACATAATGTGATATGATATGACATGGTGACATGCTGCAAAACATGAGCAACCAAGACATAGTTTGATGTAGTATGTACGGAGTACTATGATACCGATATATATATATATGTATATGTATATACATACACACATATTTGTATGTATATATATATAATAATAATAACAATAATAATAAAAAATAAATAAATAAATAAATAAATATATATATATATATCTGTATATATGTATATGTATACTAATATACATATATATATATATAGACATATATAGACATATATATATATATATACATATATCGATATATACCAGAATAATATCAGTGCGGGGTAACTGCACATCGTCAGCTTCCTGCCTCGTCTCGCGCATGGACATCCAGTGTCACCATGGCACCCACGGTTACGCGATTGAGTTTGGTCATCTCTCCTGGCGATAGTAGGGTTTGGGGTTTAGGGGATGCATCTTATTTCGTCAGTATGTTGCCGCGCTAATTCCACAGAAGTCGTTGGGAAAAAGCGCTACATCCCGAAACATCATAGACATTGAGCATGACTGTCATGTCCTCGAACTAGAACCACGATGTCCTCCAGCTGCTTGAAGAGCTTCCTTGCATGCGGCAGAACTGCGCTGCATACCGCACACATGACAAAAACAAACCAGTATGTCTGGTACAGAAACGCGCTTTGAAGAAGTTGAAATCTGGTGGTTCTTACTCTTCGACCCATTGGAGCTCCTCTGGATTGGCAATCGGTTTAGGGTTTAGGGGTCAATTTTTTTGGTCCATTCGTGGATCTCCAGCATCATCTCTCATTGCTCCTTCCTGGCCGCTTGTTCGCCTGTTTCATTTCTGGAAACCTACTTATGTCTCGAATTAGAAATCGAAAGCCACTGCAGAAGCTGTTCTTGACTAGGCACGGAGTCGCTGAAAACCCTTTCGCCCTCACTGCGTTGACCCGGTGCTCTGGAGCTAGGGCAACCTGTGAACTTGAGTTTGCCCAGCGGCTTCTCATATTCTGCAATCGCCCCCTTTTTCAATGCATCGGTGACTTCGGATGTCCAAAAGATCATGTCCTGACAAAGTCTTCGCATTTTCCACACACGGGACATGCCCCTTTGTCAGGCTTCCACTGAAGGCAGGGCACCGTTGCTAGGACAACCTGGCCAGGCCACTCGCAGCACCACCTGGCAATTCCGCCAGGGGGTTTGGAGCGTGGACAATGGGGCACAGTCGATGAACTTTGGAATCCAAGTGGCTTCACCCGGTCTGCTGTTGGGTATGCCTTGTTCGACTTGTCAGTGACCTCGCGGAGGATGTCCATCATAGACTCTTCCACTTCCACCAGCCAGCACTCCACTGCACCAGCATTTCCAGGCTTCATGACATCGACTTTGTTGGTGAAGTCAACAGTCTCGCCCTCTCCAGAAGTCATCGCTTCAATGACTTCGTTCCTGGGCTTGTGCAGGCTGCATCGCTTGCATGAGGCAACAGCCTTTTGTGGTGTTCTGTGTTCGTATTTCTGTACCTATGCGGCTACTCCGTGCATAAATGCAGAAGTCTGCTTACTTCGGCCGGTTCACTTGGAGTCGAAACGGACCTTGGCGATGCCCTCAAAGGCCTTGTTCAAGTGAGGCTGCACCAGGGTGGGATCCTCGTGCAACTGCCAGTGCCCTGTCATACTCGTGTGACTAGGATACTAGCCTGCAGATCTCGCTTCCCTTGCACAAGCCGGATGCTAACTCTTCTTCAGATGCTCCTTGGTCTCCGCCAGAATCGACAGCAGGTCAGCATCGTTCAGGAAGAAGAAGCGTGGGAAGTACAACCTCACGTGAGAGAGAGAGAGAGAAAGCATGTAGCAGTAGCAGGTGCACATCGGCATACTATGCTCGCACTGTTGCTATCGCTCCCACCTCTTCGTCTCCAAGTAGTCCTTGAGGCCTTTCTGAACCTTCTCAATCGTGACGTTGGCCTCGGGCATGCAGTTGTGGCTGCCAACAATGCAGCAAAATGCTCAGTTCAGTCGCAAAGCCTCTGTCATGTCCTCCACAATGTTCTCAATCTTGGAAATGGCGATGCAGTTCCTCAGCGGAGCAAGCTTGCCTAAAACGCTAAGTCCTACCTGCCTATGTTGTTGCACGACTCCCCGATGGCGAGCAAGGATCTTGTTGGAGTCAACTTGCGCCATGCGCATGCGGAAGTTGCTATCAATCCGAGCGAAGGACTCGGATTCCTCGCTGTCTTCAAATCAGATCCAAATTACGGAGCCCCTTATGGGGGAGTTTATCATAGTGAACCTTAGAAGCACCCCCAACTCTCGAACAACTTCCAGCACTTCATCGCGGCTACACTCTCTGCTTCACCACCATCCCCACGGGGTGCGGGAATTGAAGCAAGTGCTCCTGGGGCAGCTGACGCTTGATGTCGTCCGACGCGAAAATCGGCTCGAGTGCCATCCAGCTCCTGGACAGCTGCGCTGGAGCTGGCAAACCCAATTAGGCTGACGGGGCAAGACCATGCTTTAGAATTCTATATGACACTGTACTATGCTATAAATTGCTATAATGGACCATACGATAATGAATAGTATCACAGAATGTAGTCTAGTTTTCAAAGCGCTCTGAAAGCCCTCCAACCGCCTCTGCAGGGCGATGACCTGGTCGATGAAATCCTGGATGTACATCAGTGTGTGCTCCCACTCGTGGACCTCTGCCTCGAAGGGCTTGCAGAAGGGACCTCGCAAAGATTTACGATTTAGAAGGTAAACTCAAGCTTTGGTGTAGGGTTTAGGGTTAGAGCTTGGGGCTTAGGATTTCGAGCCTCAGGGTTTGGGTTCAGGGGTCTGCAACCCTGAACAGATGATTGAGGGCTGCATCTGCGTTGCTTTGACTTAGCCTCGGGCTGCTTCGGATAGCCTGAGTCTTGGAAATGTGGTCGTCAAGGACCGTCTGGATTTCGTCAATGCCGCGAAGCAATGGCACTCCATTGCGTTCAGCTGTCGCGAACTCGAGAGGCTGCCACTCGATCTTCATGTTGCTCATGGCCTTTTAGACATGACTGGAGAAGTGCCAATGCTACCCCAGCAGTTTTTCGTACCTTCAACGCAAACAGCTTAACTTTTGTCAATGGCCTTCTTGAGACCATGCTGCTTTGCTGCTGCTGTTGACAGCTCCTCGAAGTCATTCGTGAACTCGTTAATGTTGTAGTCCAACATCATTTTCAGTGTCACCTTGTGGTAGTCATTGCCATAAAGGGCTGGAGGAGGAGCCGCGTCTCCCATACGCTCGAACATCTCTTTCCAGTGTCGGTCCAGAACTGACTCCTAAGTCTTCCCAAAAAACAGAGCATCCCGAAGCACAGTCTTGAATGCACAATCTCCACAAATTTGCTACTAGTAAGTGGATCCAGAGCACGTTCGCGAAGCAGCGCAGGAAAGGAAAGCGGCCCTTGAACTCCTCGAGGCCTTGACGCAACTCTTTGGCGATCTTCTGCGCAGCCCTGCGAGATCACCGGACCGTCCGTGCGATTGATTTCCGATGAGTCAGCAGAAATTCTTTAGACTGTACAATACTGCACAGCTGCTGGCTTCAACTTGTCCGGCTACAAGCAACCCTGGCTGCAGACGGTGGAGATCTGAAGCACTGCCTCATGTTGTCGTTGTCGAAGTCCTTGATCATCTTGTAGACCAGCCTAGGCTTCTGACGTGTAAACGACGAAATTCCCCCTACTCCTGGGAGCTTCCTTCTCGTCAATACTTGGAGCTCAGTTCCGGTGTTTCATTCACGAAATTCCAGAGCAGATCTGTCACACTTTTATCGCGCTGCGTCCAGGAGGCTTGTACCAGCCATCGATGGTGTTCTCCACAACCGTCGAGTTGTGAGTTGCGATGGGCTCCGTCGTCCACTTCCTCTGCTAGGTCTTCTGCACGTGTTCGAGTAGCTTCCAGAAGTACCGTCTACGCGACACATGGCAAACTCACAGGCAGCTCAGAGGCTTGTCTGAACGTTGGAACTCGATGACGGTGCTCCAAAGCAGATAGTAGGGATTGAAGTCGTCGATCATGCCGTCGAGCTCGTAGTAGTCCTCGTTGGAAACTCGTGTAAGCAAGCAAAGGCGCAAAGAGTGCTCATGCGAGCTCACCACACTCGCTGCGAAGGATCCGTCACTTCCAGGCCAAGAAGTTGCTCTCGAGACACGTAGGACTTCGTCCTGTTCAGGGCCTCGGAAGCAAAAAATGGACAATGCCAGTCACACTCCTTATCACAGCATGCGTACGTCTTCAACTAATCTCTATCCCTCACAGCTACGGCAGGAGCGGACCTCGTCCAGGTGCTTCTTCAAGCTGTAGACTTCAGTCTCGTAGTCGGACAGGCCCTTGCTGTAGTCCTGGATTCTCAGGCCCTTACGGTAGCCCTCTGCCTCCAGTGGGGCCTACAGGTCTGGTACTGCAGGCCCGCTATGCCAGCGATCCTTGAACTCGTTTCGAATCCTGTGCAAGCTTTCGTTCCACCTGCGCAGGCCGAATTTTGACAGCATGCCAAACCAGCAAAGAAGCAGTGGAGCTGCTTTGGAACAGCTGGGTGCGATGCTTTCGCATGTCATCATTGAACTCCATTTGCTCACCTTCCAGCACGGCAATCTCGGTAATGTTCCTGCAAGATCCGACCAAGAATGCAAAGCATGCGCGCGAACTACAGCTGCCGGATGGGTCCTATTGACCAAGAAGTGCCACAAGCGCACGGTGTGGTCGTCCGAGCATGTGACGAAGGCTTGCCTTGCTTCATCTTGCTTCGCTACTTCTTTCGACGTGCATTACCTAAAAGGTTCCACAAACAGTGCTCAGTGCAGATTGATGCAACTTGCTCTACGTTTTGCAGCTTTGCGACGAGCACGGAGCCCAGGCAGCATACCGCACACTTGCCAGATGGCCCTGACATGGAAATCCACTGGATGCTCGTCCCTAGTCCCAGCCAGCCCTACCAGTACCAATGCCCACTGGTGTTTGCACATGTGCCTGAAGGGGATCTGCTCGGCGCTGGCCACTGACTGCTGAGAAGAGTCCAACATAAATGTCCTCTGACGACGACCTGTCTGTGTGTGATATTGCCTGTGCACACGGTCATACTTGCAGCCGGCGTGACACCAGTGAGGTAGCATCCGGGGACCAGGTCACGAAGCCAGACAAGCACTGGATTGGATCGATGACCTCTGCGCAAAAAGCCATGGAACCACAGAATAGGCACTTGCCAAGGGGACCCCAGCCTGCTTGAGCTCGGCATCAAACTCACCTTGGCTCAGAGGCAATGCGCTGACCTCGAAAATGCTATGCTGATGTTGTACGTCAGCCACATCAACACAGAATGTACACTTTTCGGTGAAAAAAGACGAGTTGCTGTTGATGAGATCCCAGATCCGGATTGTCGCATCCTCAGCTGAGACGTCGCCTTCTTCACTCAGATGCAAGCTGCGCGAGCAATGATGAGGTCTAGTCCCAGCTGATCCGAACACGAACCGTACATCTCGTGACAGGGAGTCTCGTGGGGCAAAAAGTATACACGTGGCAGAACCGGAGTGCTGCCGACGGTCCGTGCTGCACGTCGCAAGGCCTCGCATTGCGGTGCCGCAGGCACTGCAGGGTGCCGCGCACGAACACCAGCGAAGCGAAATCGCAGATTGGCCGAGAACCTTTCTAGCCAAGCCGCGGTTGCCATCCAGTGGTGAGAAGGAGAGACACACCTCAGACAGTCCAAGTCGCCGACTCACTCAACAAGTCTCTATCTTTGGCAAAGCGGCCACCGGTGCTTTGTGGCAGGCCAAGAAGATTGGGTCACCCTGAATCGGACAGTCGTCGCACTTCGAACATCTGATCAGAAACTCTAATATAAAAGGATATCAGAGGATATATAACTTGCTATAACATACTGCAACATCGGCTATAAAATACAGTGTTGCAATAATATAGACTGATACAATACTGTAGAACATTGTAGAACTGTAGAATATTTCTATCGCCTCCTCGTACTCATCTTCCGGCTCAGGGTTCTCCTCGGTCCAACCCTCCTCCGGCTCGGCGGGCTTCGGGAGGAGCTTCTTTGGACCACGCAGCTCGTCGCGGGTCGTGGTGTTGTAGATGCCTTTAAAGGCGAGAGCTTGGATTTAGGGATTGGAGTTTGGATGAGTTTGGGGATTTAGGGTTTGGAGTTGAGCGTTTCGGGTTCAGGCTTCACTACCAGCAGTGCTAGTAGCCCCGCAGCGAAGCACGCAACAGCTGAATCGTCTGTGCGCGACGCGACGGAGTAAGATGCCATTTCAGCTAAGGTTCGCAGGTGCTTCTCATTGCTGCCCACAACCAACCTGAACAGTGTTGCCAAAGTGGTTTCCTACTCTAGTGTGCTGGCGCCTCATCACACAGCAAAGTACAAGTCCAATGCATCTGCAGGCAAAACACCTGGTACCATCACCGCAGAACCCTGCTGCGTGGACGGCTACGGGTGTTTCGCCGTGCTCCTGTGTGCGCACAGGGTTCCAGCATGTTCCAGCCTTTCCGTTTGGGCTTCTTCGGCTTCCCGCCAGGCCAACATGTGTCCTTTGTAGTTTGGAGGATGGCCTTTGTCATGAGCTCCGCACCCGATGTCATATCCCACAGCTTCACCACACCGTCCTTCCGATTCACAGCCCCATGAGAGTCAACCACATGGTGAAGAGACGGAGATGCCCCGCGCAAAAAGCCATCTGGCATCCTGGAAAAGGCTACTGCCTCCTTTCCTGAACACGTTCCGGGTATTGCCCCGTGCATGTCAATGTGCTTGGGTCCTCGCTGCCACAGGCAATGAATTTGCCATCGCGGCTGAAGCAAATAATGCGGACGGGGCCTGCGAGGCAAGATCGGAAGATCGTAGACCCTCCTTCTCCACTCCAAACCGCTCCGAAGCCCCACTAAACCCTCTATACTCTCTCTCTCTCTCTCTCTCTCTCTCTCTCTCTCTACCGGCACTGGGGGTCGGGCAGCGTCCAGGCCCTTCCCCCGCA